AGATTTTCAATCTCCTTTGAGGTCAATACAGATTTTTCAGATAGCAAACCAAATTTTAAAAGGACCTAAACATTAATTAAAGAGCAGAAAGTCTAAAAATGATATGACTGGTAAACATCTGTGGATCATCCACAGAGCACAACACTCAGCCTTAGAAACATGAGGCAAGAACTGCTGCTGCAACAAGGAAGAATACCCAAATGTTAGAGTGTTAGAAGTAATATTGTGAGGATTAAAAAAAAAAAATGACTTTCTTCAACCTTTGAGACGGAATTCCCAAAATCCAAGCAGGTAATTATTGCTTTTGCCTAAAGTTAAGCTAGGTCAAACACTCAAAACATCAAAAAATCAGCTACTCTTTAAAGCTGCTCAGTGTATCCAGGTTTTGAACAAACACACCAGGTGGTGACAACAGACAATCTTAGTGTGGTTTAATAAAAAAACCAGAGAGAATTTTAATGTGCCAATTTCAAAATTAGCGCATGAATGAATATGGAAGTATATACTTGAGTAGTGATCTACAGTAGAAGTAGAAGATATACACGCCACACTATTAGAATTCCTATCCTTAACAAAAAATGTAGTCAACATATATTTATGGAAGAAAACAACAACAAACCTTTTTGGTAAAACAGACATTTATGGGTTTTTGCAAATATCTTTCTAAATAGTTACTAGTTTGGTCTGATAGAGAAACAAATGTGTCTCAATAAAAACAAAAGTTGTTCTTTTGCACCCAGTCCTTATTTTTCCTGTCAAAAACACACTTCATGACAGAGGAGAGCAGAGCAAGCTGACACCCTCAGCCCTCAGTGAGGTGCTGCATGAGATGTTTGTTTAACTCCACAGTCTGATCAAAGAAGATGATGACAGCTTTGAGCGCTTATTTCCCCATGAGGCCACAATCAAAAGGGAAAGTAAACACACTGGGAGAAAGTATGCAGGAATAAAAACAATGATGACGTACAGCACGTCAGCACTAACAGTGAGCTGCAGGAGACACTGTTTTAAGCAGCAAACAAGAGACTCACCCAGAATATGATGTTGAAACCGAAAATGAAGTATTTAATGCAGCAGCTCACTTCATGAGCCTTGAAATGCTTCCCTGACATCATCAGGACGGGCTCGGTTTCAAAGGATTCGCATAGAAGCTGCTCTGATGTTTGTCAACAGCCCGGTGGTTTGGGTGGAGGAGACACCCGTAAATGTTTGCAACGGCTCCGAATTTCAGCGCCTCAATGGAAGCGTCATTCTGCGAAAAAAAACAAATAACATAAAGGTGGAGATGGAGCAGCGAAGGACGCTCAGTCTGTCGATAAGTCCAAACACAGCAGCTTTTAGCCGCTCAGGGATTCACAAAGAGGTCAAAGTGTGAGGAATCCACAGCAAGAGCCTGGTTGGAGCTGCTGGTCCTCCAGCTGACCTGTACTTCAGACCAGAGACATGGCTGCTGGCGTCTGAGCGACGGTTCGAGGAGCCAATCAGCTTCCACTAGAGGGCGGGACTTCCTCCTGAGCCCACGGATTCGTTTCAGTCTCCCAACGGCCTCATTTTTAGATAGACTGAAATAGAGGATTAGGGCCACTGAAAATATTTCAAAAAGGTTAACTGAGTTTTACATTTATTTTCAGTATAATATGAGATAAAACTTTTTTTCTCAGAATTCTGATTTTTTTTCTCAGAATTCTCACTGTAATCTCAGAATTCTGACTTTTTTCTCAGAATTCCCAATTTAATCTCAGAATTCTCACTTTTTTCTCAGAATTCTGACTTTAATTTTAGAATTCAGATTTTTTTTCTCA